CAGAAATAAAAGGCTAGAAATGTGTGTTGCTATATCCCTATAAAGAAGCATCAAGTGTATTTTCAGTTGCTGTCCCATGACCTTGGTCTCTGCTGGGTTATAAATCTTATGTCCAGAGGTAGAAATGTCTCCACCAGCACAAAAAAAAAAAAAAAAAAAAAAAAAAAAAAAAGAATGATTCTACAGCACTGGCAGTGAGCAGTGCCATCTGACTACTTTATGCTCACCATGACTCTGAAACAACAGGCAAAGGAAAAAGGCATGACTTGGGAATGACTTACCCTGACTATCAAGGAGAAATCTGACTGCTACGCTAATGAAGATTATGTGTAAAATTCAGTTAATATCCCAGAGATTCTCATATTACTATGCTCTTTGTATGTCAATAATGTAAAATAACAACTTCATTCCAGCAAAACTACTAATGGCCAGACCATCATGAATAAAAATTTAGGTAATTTCACCATACAGAATCAACCTGCTGAAATGCTTGCTGAAGCAATGGTCTGTAGAACGAATAATGACAGGAGGTAGTTTCAAATATCTGCTACAAACTTGTCACCAGATACAGAAATAAGGGTTATAGATGTAGCATGAAGCTCAGTATCACAGTGCCTGGCTGGCAAGTGCTAGGCTACTAGTTTGATTCCCAGTACCAAAAAGAAAAAGAAGTATTATAGTTGTCATGAGTATTTTCTCTTTATTTGTAATTTTTATGTCCATGGTTGTATAAAATAACTCGCTTTATTCCATTTCTTTTCATATAATATATTTGTAAATCATAATATTTAAATGTTGCTAATTTTGTGTCATAATATTTAAATTATAAGATATCAAAAAATAAAAATTTACTTCATTAGAACTTTACTTCATTAGAAAGGGATTAATTTCTTTTCAGTTGTGCACATCAGAGCTGTATTACATTAGTCAACTGTGGCTGTATCTATTCTGAGTTGAAGTAAGATTTAAAGATACGAATACAAGAACAGATTGTCAAAAGGTAAAATTGCGACTGCTGTTAATTTTCTTTGCTCATTTGATTAGCTATAAGGCATCTCGATATTTGGTTAAATATTTTTCTGTGTCTATTTGTGAGAGTGTGAGATTGATACTTTAACTAGTATTGTGTAAAAAATATAACTTCCTTTTCACCTATGGCGATGGCCTAATCCAATCAGATGAGGGCCAGTACAGAATGAAAAATGCCGTGTTACAGGGAATTGGTTCTCTCTTTGTTCAAACTGGGCTATTTCCTGGTGTTACACTTGTGGACATGGGGTTTCTCAGACTTCATGCTGTAGTACAATCAATCAATGGCTCTTCTAGTTCCAAGAGTTTAGACGCACCATGAAAGTACAGCACTAGCTCTCATGTGCCTCCAGCTCTTAGGACTTTTCAGCCTCCATAATGTTAAAACTAAATTCCTTATTGCTATACTTATATTTCATATGTACAGCTGTCAGCTAACATTTATCTATCTCTCTATCTCTCTGTCTCTCTCTCTCTCTATCTATCTACCTCTCTATCTCTCTATCTACCAATATAACCTTTTGGTTCTGTTCCTCTGGAGATTCATCATTTCATCATCTTAGAATTCCACATTTCTAAATTTTATATACCATTTTATACATAAGCTATCATCACCCATGTTTTATGCATGACAGTAATATAAGCAAGTTGAAGAATATCATGAGACATGGAGGAAAGAGGAAGGAAAAAGTGGAAGGGAATGTGAAAATTTTAAGATGTTTTATGTATCAAGACACACATGTAACAACTACTCACAAGAAATGCCATCATGAGGCACTCTAAACTTGTACTAATAAATTTTTAAAGTATATACTGATATAGAGTGATAAATATACAGTATCTATGTACAGAAAAAGCATCTTTATATACAGGTATACTGAATATAGATATGGTATCTATATATACAAATACATAGAATGTAAGTTATATACAGTATTTCATACAGATATATACATATAGTTATTCATATATCTGTATATTTTAGTACTTTTCATCAGCTGTGAATAAACTTAGCACCTGAATCTGCCAAATTTAGAATAAATGTTTACTACAGAATGTACTGTTTAAAGTAATTCTGGAAAGAACCACTATATTTTTCTTACTTTTACCAAAAAATATTGATTGAATTTCTGAGTCATTAAAAGTACAGTTTTAAATCATCAATTAATATAATCCCTATTTTTGTTACTGTAACACATTGGCTGCATAAAAATTTAGTATGATTGCTTCTACACTGTCGGGCGCAGGCGCTCAACACACCCCACCCGGGACTATAAGACCACATCAGCTTCCACAATGCGCTACGTCCCTCTTCAAACTAGCCACCCCGTGTGCACCTCGTGCTCACTCCGTACTTTTCCCGTGCCGACTCTGTGGCAACCCCTGATTGGCCACAGCTGGGTATATTAGCCAGAGCCTGCATCCCATTCCAGCCCTGCTTCCTCGTGGCAGCCCTCGTGGCAGCCTGTAATTGGTCACGGATGAATATATAAACCTGAACCCGCGTCAATAAAGCGGCAGTTACCTGTTACCAACAAGAGCGTCCTCTGTCTCATTGGGGGGCTGCGCCGGTCAACTGGTGGCCCATACGGGGAACGAGACCCTCTCTCCGACAGAACGGAGACGATAACAGGTAAAACCGTCAAGCGCAGATAGCGGGGGCTACGCGGCGGGTGGCGGCTGACAGGTTAAACTGCTCAACGTTGGTAGCGGGGGCTACACAACAGGCAGCGGTGGCTGCCGGGGCAGATAGTGGGGGTTATCGGGCAACCTTGGGCGGACGCGTCACAAGGGTCAAGGAACTCGTAAAGAGAGTTCCCGGTGCCGTAAAGAGGCAGGCTATGGGGGCGCCGTAAAGGGGCGCAGGGATTAAGATGTCCCTGAAAAAAAAAAAGGAAAACAAAAAGAAACAAAAAGAAATTCTTGAAACTCCCCTTAACATGGGTAACACCGCTACTTAGCCGCTGTTAGTCGCTTTAAGCGACTTACTGAAAGAAAAGGGATTAAAAATGAAACGAAAACAAATTCAAAACTTCCTCAATCAGGTCGACAAAGTAGCACCTTGGTTTGGTCCCACGGGGTCCGTTACCATCCCCAGCTGGGATAAATTAGGGAGAAATCTTGACTTTGCAGCAGAAAACGGCCTCCTGGAGCCAGGAGTCAGACCCCTTTGGGCAATAGTGAGGAGTTGCCTCGCAGACACCTCTTGTCATGGCCATATAAGGGCTGGCGCCATGGCGCTTAATCACCATCAGGCAGAATCCTCCCACGAGCAATCTCGCGAGCCCAGTGTCACACGCGAGGCAACCGCACCCAACCCAGAAACAGAGAACTCGTCAGATAATGAGGGGGAGGAAGAAGAAGTACATAAAATGGCGGATGCAGACACCACCAAAAGAGGGGAAGTCACACACATGCAGTTGAGAGGGCCCTACTCTGAGGCCATAAATGAGCTGCAACGCATGATTTCTCAGAGTGAATGGGTCAATGAAACGAGTACGGGATCCCAGGGCCGCCCCGTATAAGACCTACGGCTCCACCTCCCGACCCGCCAGATTATCATGCTTACCCGAGACCCTGCCATCAGCTATGTAGCTGCCTGCAACGGGTCCAGACGTCTCCTGGGACATTTCAGGAAGACCTTTGGCATCAAGTCAAAAGAGAGGACCCAGGAGGCCTGGGCTGTTTTCTTCAGGCTTTTCCGGTTGCTGTAGATGCTCAGGGAAACAGAGCCCACCTGCCTGTAGATATAAAGGCGATAAAGCACCTTAAGGAGGCCAGCACCATGTACGGTGTTAACGGGGCGTATACCCTGTCCCTAGTAGAAGCCCTGGCAGGAAACGCCATGACACCTGCTGATTGGGCCAGTTTGTGCAAGGCGGTGCTCAGCCCGGGCCAATATCTTGATTGGAAAGCCTGGAATGTTGAACTTGCCACAGAACAGGCCCAAGCTAATGCCCGGAACAATCAGGCCGCCTGGAACGCAGATATGTTATTAGGACAAGGGCAGTATCTCAATAACCATCTGATATTTCCACAAGAGGTATATGCACAGATAAATAGAATAGCCATACAAGCAAGGAAATGGGTCTCGGCTAGGGGAGAAGTCTCAGGCCAGTTGACAAAAATTTTGCAGGGCCCGAGCGAGCCTTTTTCAGATTTTGTGGCCCGCATGATGGAGGCGGCAGGGAGAATTTTTGGAGATGCAGAGACAGCCATGCCGCTCATTAAGCAGATCATTTTTTAGCAATGTACTAAAGAATGTCGCTCTGCCATTAGTCCATATAAAAATAGGCCCCTTGAGGCATGGATGAAACTCTGTCGGGAGATTGGAGGGCCATTAACCAACTCAGGTTTGGCGGCCATGTTAATGAAGCTAACTAAAGAAGGTCAGGGAGGCAGAGTGGCGCCACAAAATGGTGCCCACCTGAAAGAAGCCTGCTTCAAATGCGGCAGACAGGGACATATAAAAAGAGACTGCCCATCTTGGGGACCCGGAAGAGAACAACCCCCCCCTCCTGAAGACCGAAAGTGCCCCAGATGTAAAAAGGGAAATCACTCCGCCGTGGAGTGCCGCTCCATCTTTGATGTAAATGGGCTGCCCCTCACGGCTAAGGGCCGTAACCCAGAGAGGCCAAAAAACGGGATTGGGGGGCCCCCCTGGGGGGTGGGCCCCCGCTTCTACCTAGCCAGAGAATATATGGTAGACCAGACACTGCCAATGACGCCAACATGGGCAGGTCAGAACCGAGGAGAGCCTCTCCGGGTTCAGGGGGACTTGACCTCCGTGCCACCACCGGACTCGTATTAACCCCGAAAACGGAGATACAGGCCATAGAGACAGATATGTCCGGCCCCTTACCGGAAGGCACAGTAGGGTTGATAATTGGTCGATCATCCCTCTCCATGAAAGGAATACGGTCTTACCTGGTGTTGTAGATTCTGATTACACAGGAAAAATAAAGGTGATGATGCAGGCTCCTAAAGGCCCAGTAGCCTTAGGGGTGGGAGACTGCATCGCTCAGATGCTAGTTTTACCCAGCCGTCATGGGGACTATCCATCATTGTCTGGTACTAGAGGAGACAGAGGATTTGGATCATCAGATTCAGCCTTTGTTGCCCTCTTTCTTAGATTGGATGAGCACCCCATGCTAACAATGTCACTCAATGGGCGAAAAATATCTGGACTGCTAGACACAGGAGCAGACCGCTCTATTATAGCTGAAAAGGACTGGCCACTAACCTGGCCTACCCAGACGGCACAACAAACACTGCAAGGCTTAGGATCAATTCATGCACCTAAAATTAGTAGTCAGATAATTAAATTGGAAGACAATGAGGGACACTCAGGAGAATTCATACCCTATGTTCTCCAGCTCCCAGTTACCTTATGGGGGAGAGAAGTGCTCTCTGCCCTAGACTTGACCTTGTGCAATGAATATTCTCACACAGCCAGGAGAATTCTTAAAAATCAAGGGTATGAACCAGGCAAAGGATTAGGCAAAGACCTGCAAGGAAGGCCTTTCCCCATCCAGGCACAACCACGCGTTCAGAGGCAAGGTTTGGGTTTTTAGTGGGGGTCACTGGCTCAGCTTCTGCCCCTCTCAAATTGACATGGGTCTCTAATGACCCCATTTGGATAAATCAGTGGCCCCTACCATGAGACAAAGCAGAAGCCGCATCCAAACTTATTCAAGAGCAATTAAAGTTAGGCCATATCCAACCCTCAACGTCACCCTGGAATACTCCCATTTTTGTAATAAAGAAAAGGTCAAGCCAATGGCGGCACCTACATGATTTGAGAGCCATAAACGCTCAAATGCAGATAATGGGCCCAGTACAACAGGGCTTACCATTATTGACAGCCCTACCACAAGACTGGCCTACTATTGTTATTGATATTAAAGACTGTTTTTTCTCCATCTCACTACATCCAGAGGACACCCACAGATTCGCGTTCACCCTACCTACAGTAAACCAAGAGGGCATAGATATGAGATATGAATGGACAGTCCTACCCCAAGGAATGAAAAATAGCCCCACCATGTGTCAGTTATCTGTGGATAAGGCTTTAGACCCCATTAAGAAAAAAACACCCGCATGTCAAATGTGTTCATTATATGGACGACATCCTCCTTACTCATAGGTCACAAACTGAATTAGATGCAGCATTCATCACCATGACACAAGCCCTAAGGCAGCACGGATTAGTCATGGCCCCAGAAAAGATTCAAAAGGGTACAATTCAATCCTTTTTGGGCATAGTTATCTGTCCGGACCATATATTCCCCCCAAAAATACATCTTAGAACTGATCAGATAAAAACACTTAATGAGTTGCAAAAATTCGTGGGAGATATTAATTGGCTCAGATCCTTTCTGAACATACCCAATAGTGAACTGCGGGCATTGTATGATCTGCTGAAAGGGGATAATAATCTGTTGTCACCCAGACTCCTGACCCCTGAGGCTCGAGAATCCATTGGCTCAGTGGAGCGAGCCCTTCAGAAGGCTACCCTTCAGAGGGCTGCCCCGGGAGTCCAAATTTTGCTGTGCATTCTGAAATCTGCTTCTCAACCCACTGCTTTACTTATGCAACAGCAACCATTATTATGGATCCACCCAAGAATGTCACCAGCCAAAAACATCAGCTATTATCCAGAAATGGTGGCGGATCTAGCGCTGCTAGGTGTTAAACTAACCCACCTCACTCCATTAAAGTTCCCTATACCTGACAACAGATCGAAACACTGGTGTCCTGTGTAAACTCCTGGACTATCCCCAGGTGTACCTATGAATGATCTATAGATAACCAATACCACAATAACCCATCTTGTATTTTGTGAAAGAACACCCAGTAATCTTCCCAAAGCTCACATCATCAAAACCCATTCCTCACGCACTTACCATATTCACTGATGGGTCAAAAACAGGTGTTGGTGCCTACCTTGTGCAAGGTCACCAACCGGTAGCTGTCCAATTTGCGCCTGATCAACCTCAACTAACAGAACTAAAAATCATCATAGAAGTGTTTAAACAGTACACACAACCTTTCAATCTGCTCTCTGACTCACATTATGTCGTCAAAGCCTTACAAGTGTTGGAAATTTCGGGCCCAATTAGGGAATCCTCTAAAGCCCACGCTCTTTTCCTAGAGCTCCGCACACTCATTCTAAACAGGACTGTGCCGTTCTTCGCTGCCCACATTCGTGCGCACACTTCCCTTCCCGGACCATTAGCTCTCGGGAATGCCATGGTCGGCACGGCTACCTGCCCTCTTAACATCCTTCTGTCAGCCATAGAGCAGGCCTCAGAGTTCCACACACAGTTTCATGTAAATGCCCGCACTCTGCAGAATAAGTTTCAGCTCACCAGGGAACAGGCTAGACAGATAGTGTGAGATTGCCCTGCATGTGTCACTAGTCATGTGACTCCCTCTTGTGGTGTCTGCCCGTGCGGTCTCCTCCCAGGACACATCTGGCAGATGGATGTTACTCACATCCTAGAATTTGGAAATCTCAAGTATGTGCATGTCTCCATCGACACCTGCTCACAAGTGATGTTCGCCTCCCTTGAGACAGGTGAACAGGCCCGACATGTCATCCAACATTGCCTGGTGGCATGGGCCACCTGGGGACAACCCAAGCAGTTAAAAACAGACAACGGCCCTGCTTACACCAGCAAGTCATTTTCTGACTTCTGCCAAAACATGCAGGTGTCCCTCAGACATGGAATCCCCTATAATCCTCAGGGCCAAGGCATAGTTGAGCATGCTCATCAAACCCTCAAGTCTATTCTGTCTAAACAAAAGGAGGGTATTGCCCAGGGCATGACACCTAGGGCCAGACTAAATCTCGCCCTCTTTACTTACAATTTTGTAAACATCAACCCACAAGGACCCACGCCAGCACAGCTACATGCCAACCCTGTCACACCCAAACAGGTTGGGTATGCTGGAAAGACCTCCTGCATGGGGTGTGGAGAGGCCCCAGCCCAGTGCTTAGTTGGGTGAGAGGGGCAGTCTGTGTCTTCCCGCAGGAAGAAGGCAGTGAACCTGTCTGGGTCCCAGAACGCCTGATACGTCCCTGCAAACCACCAGATCCCAACCCAGAGGAAACATCAACCACAGAACAGGAGAACCAACAGGAGCCTCACAAGCCAGACCAAGCAAGTACACCCACAATTCCCATTAATCATGGCACCTTGGTCAACTCCCCTGGTTAGTGGCCTCCTTTTCCCCTCCTTCTTGTATCTCGTATGGCCCTTGCAGCCAATGACTTTTCTAAATTGCTCCACCGCAACCTGTTATGTGTCACAATGTTGGGATAACAGTACACTTTCAGCTGTCGTTATGCAGGTACCCCAGTTCATACCGATTCCAGTTATGGCGGACCCAGACGAGTTTCCTGTGATCCAGCTCGTGCGCAATAGTCTCCAATTGGATCCATAAAGCTTTCTCTTTCATAAAAGGAATGGGCAGGAATAGGGGCTCTGGCTACCATGGCTACACTTGCCGCATTCGGCAGTCTACGTCTGCTCTGTCAGATTCGCAGACAAAGGAATAGGGCCAAAGTAATTATCAAACAAGCATTGCTGGCCATAGAATCTGGTCAAAGCCCGGCAGCATGGCTCGCCATGCTGTGATGCAGGTGTAGAGCAAAGCATCGCAGGGGGCGCTGTCCTTGGCCAGGAGGTGCCCCGGTCTCCATGTCGGCGAGCATGCGGGTTGGGCTCATAAAATAGATTTCCCGCCCCCTCCAAAAGAGCACCAATGGGTAGTGAGGTACCGTCATGACTGCGCAGAATGACGCCTCACGAGGGGCGCCGACCCCTGGAGACCCTGCGTCAGTTATAAGGAAAGGGGGAGATATCGGGCGCAGGCGCTCAACACACCCCGCCCGGGACTATAAGACCACATCAGCTTCCACAATGCGCTACATCCCTCTTCAAACTAGCCACCCCATGTGTACCTCATGCTCACTCCATACTTGCCCCGTGCAGACTCTGTGGCAACCCCTGATTGGCCACAGCTGGGTATATTAGCCAGAGCCTGCGTCCCATTCCAGCCCTGCTTCCTCGTGGCAGCCCTCGTGGCAGCCTGTGATTGGTCACGGCGTAATATATAAACCAGAGTCCGCGTCAATAAAGTGGCAGTTACCTGTTACCAACAAGAGCATCCTCTGTCTCATTGGGGGGCTGCGCCGGTCACGACACAATAATTAAAAACCGTGAATTCATTTTGAGCCATGAATCCTGTTGTGTCTGAACAAATTCAAAAGGCTGTTTTTGGAATGATGTCTGTTATAAAAGTTATATTATACACACCTCTGAATCTAGACTACATTAGTTTGTAGTCTGTTCCCAGACAATTATCTGGTATTTTTGTAAATGTCTAAATTTTGCTACAGGAGAGTTTATATTAGCACAAGAATTATAATTGCTTAAATATAAGTACTTTAAGAAATTATTGTAGACTTAGAGGTTGCTGATTAAATATCAATGTGACTTTGAATAGAAGTGAATATTTTAATGGTCATATTAAAGAGGGAAGATAAAATTATATATACCTAAAACAACAAAGGTGATTTAGAGAACATTATACAAAATTTTAAAGCAAACAGTGGCTTGGTAGTGAATGTCTATGAATAACAGGGTACATAATTACACAGATTTTTAGTATAGAAATGTTTTGTAATGATATAAATAATTATATAAATAAAAATAAAATTTTCATGATAGGAAATTAATAATCAGGAAATATTTTATCTCATTAATTTTAATGTGATGCAAAATAAAAATGATTATTTTATTAAGAGGTAAATTATTAAAATGTAACAGTATTTGTTTTTCTTGTCTGTGTATGCAAGTTGGTAATTCCCAAATTCTACAAGGAAGCTAATATTCTTTTTATTGGAACACATTGCATATATATAACAGTAACATTCATTACGTGAAATTTCTACCTGCATATGATATATGCTAATTCTTCTTTTACTTCTTTTCCCTTCCCTCCTTGCAATCCTTTTTCCCATCATTATTTACAGACACTTTTAAGATGAAAACTAGCATTTTCACACAGTACTGTTGGTAATGTGAAGATAAGTTATACTCTTACAGGGAAGTTTGGTATGATTGTGCATTACTTTTCAATATATTTTTCTAGAGATGAAATACGGACAATCTCCCCATAAAAGTATTTATGAATATATAATATAAAAGTGTATGAATCAGTAAAAACTGATATAAATTTCTAATAAATTGATTAAATAAGTTGTGGGCATAGTTTTGTATTAGTTTTTACAAGTTATTTGTGCAGAATTGTCAAAACGATAAAATTGTCACTTTCAAAGTAAATTTCCAAAGGTCGTTAAACTTTAAAAATAACATGAAGCTTCAAACAACAAAAAGTTATGGAAGATAATGTAAATCTGAGATTAGAACTTTAACATCCTATGTGAATTTGTTAAGATAATACATAAAATACACTTATTCACATACATATGTGAATGAGCAGTCTGCATAAAACTTTGAATACAATCTAATTTAAAAGGTTGATTACTTAGATAATTTAAGAG